TGGGGGTACCCATCATGTGTGCGAGTGGCTGCTCGGGCTGGGGGTGAGCTGAGTCTGCGGGCAGGGAGGATGGGGGTGCCTGGCCGTGGTCGCAGAATCATTGCACACCGTGGGGCCACACAAAGTGGGGGTGGGGCAGCAGTGGCTGACGGGGACCCAGGCTCACGCGGGAGAGCTGGTGAGGGGACAGCTATGCCCAGGGCCGCGGGGGACCAGGGGAGGTCAGGAGCCGGGGGGTGGGGGGCAGGGTGTGGTGGGGGCTGCAGTGGAGTGAGGAGGCTTTCCTTGGGGCGAGGGCGAGTGTCTGCCTGGGCAGGTGGGCGCACAGGGGACCCGAGTTCCCCCACCCCCACCCTGTCTCCAGCCACAGCCGCCATTTCTGGAACCTTCAGAACCTGCCCAGGGCCCACCACCCACAGCTCTCTGGATCTGCCCCCCATGGGCCCCGCCCCCTGCACCCTCTTTGTTTGAGGATGTGGTCCCGGGTCCCCCTGCCCCCCCAGAGGTGCAGACCCCAGTGCCGTCTTTTCCCTGAGTTGTGAGGTCCCCTCCCCAGGCACCCCCCTCCAGGTGCCCCCCGCCCGCGGCCCCGAACCCCAAAAGAGAGCAGAGGACGCAGAGATGCATTTGAAAATTTTATTGGGTTTGCGAGCATCAAGGTTAGAGACGGGGCCCAGGCACTGGGCCCCGCCAGAGACAGCGAGTTAGAGGGAAGAATCGAGGCGAACACTGCCGCTGGCAAATGGGGCCGCGGCGATGACACGGTGACAGGGTGTTCTGCGCGTGGGGGGGGTCTCCAGCTGGTGGCACGGGGGGACCAGAGGGGTCCGCTGGAGACGGTTGTGGGGAGAACCCCGGGGGAAGAGACGAGATGGACGGCCACACCTGGGCACGGGGGTGAGTGGGGAGCCGGGTCGGATGGCAGAGACCCTGGGAGAGCTGCTGAGGGGGGGCACAGAGGAGGGTGGGCAGATGCCCCGGCGCCCGTCCCCGCGAGGCGAGGAGGTAACACTGGGAGGGGAGGGCGTCCGGCGAATGGGCGGGCGTTTCGGGGCGCCTCGGAGTCGTTTTGGATCTCGGGCCAATCTGTGGGTGTCTCCGGTCGGGGCAATTTGGTCTTTGGGTTCCGCCAATGTTCCGAATGGCCCATTCCCCGGGCACCTGCCGAAGCCCCTCTGTGCCAGAGGGCAGGCTGGCATGACCGCCCCCGGGGTCATGCCAGCCCCGTCACCGGGCCCCGAAGCCTCAGGCCTCTAGATTGCTAGTCGGGCTGCCCGCGGGGGGGCTGCGCTGGGGGCAGGAGTGGGGGGAGGTAAACCCCCAGCCGCCCACGTCCCCGCGGCGCCCTAGGCACAGGCATGAGTGGTGGCCGGCCGGTGCCAGGCCCGGGGGTCTCAGGGCCCAAGCAACCCCAGTTGGTTGACAAGTCAACCTGGCAGCTCTCTGCTCTGCTGGGCTCCCCCCCTGACCCCCCCGACTGCCCGGCCTCGCCCCGCCCACCGCCTCCGGGAGGCCCAGCAGAGCCAGAGCCTCCCGGGGAGGACAAGACGGGGTGCCGAGGGGGCGGGCAAGATGTCACCGAGAGGCGGGGGGCGCGGGCCCCAAGTGCTCGGAAGGCGGCCACCTGCTCACGCCGGATGGAGCCCTTCTTCTCACGTGCGGGGTCCCTTCCCCCCCGGCCGCCGCCGGGGGCCCCTCCTGATGGCCTCCGAGCACCTTCCTGACACCTGGGGGACGCCGCCCCGCCCCTCCTCCGCCCCTCAGGACCCCCGGGGACCAGCCACCGTCCCCGGGAGCCAGGCCGGGCAGTGGCCCTCTCATTCCCCTTGGACTTCTCGGCGGGGTGTTGTGGCGAGCACCCCACAGAGACTCCCACTCTCAATTCTACCCAAGCGACAGGGACAGATTTAAAAAAAAAAAAAACGCAGGGAGATAAATGGCGGGGAGCAGGACGTGGTGGTGGTGGTGACAACGAAGGCTTGCACTTGGCTTTGGTCGCTGCTCCCCTGTTACGGGCGGGAGATTACATGAGAGCGCGAGGAAGCGAAGGGAGGGGTCAAAAAAAAAAAAGGGAAAGAAGCCCCAGGAGCATCGAATTAAAGAGGGGAAATAGATCAATTGGCGTCAATTTGGGGTTCCGATTTGGGTCTGTGATTCTGCAGGTCTCCTCAACACATTCGTTCTCTGACATTTGGGGCCAAAACCTCTCCGGGCCAGTGTCTCCCCCAGAGCACCCCCACTGGGCCCCCACTGCCCCCCACCCACCCCTCCAACCGCCAGACTTCCCACACTCCCCGTCACCTTCGCCGGCCTCCGGGGGGCCTCATTGCTGAGAGCTGTCCCCGGAGGCCGGCGAAGGTGAGCCCAGGTGCGCGGGCCAAGGCCCGGGTGGTAGGTGCACCTGGGGGTCAGGCTACGGGGCGAGGGGGCATGCCTCGCTTGGGTATAGCGCCTCCAAGACTGGCCGCTTCCTGTCCTCGCTGGCACCCAGGATGGCGGGGTGCGCAGATGGGTCTGGGGGCATCGGCTCGCACTGCGGGGGAGGGGGGCCGTGGTGGCAGACAAGGGCCCCCCTCCTTCATCTCAAACGGATGGAACCGCCGAGGCGGTTGTGGCAGGGCTGGGAGGAGGGCTGGGCATGAACATCGGCAGCGCAATTTGGGGTCGAACTCGGTCAGATCAGATTGGCACGAAGGGGCAGGGCGGGGGGGGGGGAGATCTAAACCAATTTTACATCCATCCTGTGGGAGTGTGTGTGTGTGTGTGTGTGTGTGTGTGTGTGTGTGTGTGTGTGTTTGTGTTGTGTGTGTGTGAGGGTTTGTGTGTGTGTATGTGTTTATGTGTTGTGTGTGTGTTTGTGTTGTGTGTGTGTGAGGGTGTTTGTGTATGTGTGTGTGTGAAGTGTGTGTGTGTGTGTATGTGTTTGTGTGTGTGATGTGTGTTTGTGTGTGTGTATGTGTGAGGTAGGATAGATGTGTAAGATTTGGGTGTGGGGTGGGGGTTTTACAGGATGGATGTTGGGGTTCGTGCCAATTAAGTTTAATTAGTGCCGATTTAGGTGTTCATGTCCCAGGTCCCTCCTCTGGTCTCAGGTAGAGGTGAGGAGCCGAGCCGAGGCGAGGCTGGGGTGTGGGCGGCCAGTGCACCTGAGAGTGCCCGGGTGTAATGGGCAGAGGCGCTGGGAGCAAGGACATGCCCACCTAGAATTTGGTCCCTCCGATCTCCTGGATGGTCAAGGACTCAAGCCCAAGGCCAATTTGACTTGAGGTCCTGGGGGAGGAGATGGAGGGGGGGGGGGGCCGAATTCTTTTACTTGCCAATTGTTTTTAGCCAATTCGTTTTTTAGTGTATTTTCAGCCAATTGAATATTTTAGAATTTGGGGGTTTTTTGGTTTTTTTTAAGGCCAATTGGATTTTTGGTGTTTTTAAATAGCCCATTAGTTTTAGGGCTTGGTGTGAGTGTGAGTGTGTGTGTGTGTGTGTGTTTGTGTGTGTGTGTGTGTGTGTTTATGTTTGTGTGTGTGTTTGTGTTTGTGTTTGTGTGTGTGTTTGTGTGTTTGTGTGTGTGTTTGTGTGTTTGTGTTTGTGTTTGTGTGTGTGTGTATTTGTGTGTGTGTTTGTGTGTGTGTGTGTGTGTGTGTGTGTGTGTGTGTATGTGTGATTTAGATTTTATTGTAATTTGGAGTGATAATTTGGTTGAATAATTTGGCCGAATAGTTTGGTCGAATTATTGGTGGGGATAATTTGAATAATTTGGTTTAATAATTTGGGGGGATATTTGAAGCCAATTGGTTTTGTACATTTTGAGGCTGTTGAATAATTTGGGGGGTATTTTAAGCCAATTGTTTTTGAAGCTGTTGAATATCCCTGCGGGATAATTTGGGGGGATATTCAAAGCTAGTTGGTTTTGTACATTTTGAGGCTGCTGGGGGGTAATTTGGGGGGGGTATTTTAAGCCAATTGATTGAGCAGTTTTGAGGTAGTCGGCCGATGGAGGGGGCCGAGGGCCGTAGCCTGACATGGGGAGGTTGGGGCAGGGGGCGGCCAGGGGCACGCTAGGAGGAGAAGGTCGGCGCAGAGAGGTTTTGGGGACCTGATGGGAAGTCCCGGGACCTGGTGGAAAGTCCGGTCAGGAGCGCAGGAGGAGGGTGGGGCCGTTCTGCAGAATCACGCTGGTTTGGCTCACTTCCGATCGCTGGACACCTCTGGGGAGGCTCCCCCGCGGGCAGCGGGGTCGTGCGTGGCCAGGGCATTCAAGGGGCGCTGCTGGCGTTTGGCCTCCTTGAAGGCTTCCAACTCCCTGGCCAGCATGTGACCGCGACGGACCCGCAGGACGGCGGGCAGGCCTCGGCGCAGGCGTTGGGAGGGCTGCGAGGCGCTGGGTTGGAACTGCTTGCCCGCGGGGTATTTGGGGGCGTTGTCCTGCGGGGGGGGAAGGGCCAGTCAGGGGGGCCAGCTCCCCCAGCGAGGGGCTTGCCCTTCCCCGAGGAGCCAGCCCCCTTGGGCGGGGGTGGGGGGACCCTTTGTTCTCACCGGAAGCACGGTCGGGAGAGTCGACACATCCCTCTCGGACTTGGCGGGGGCGGCACAGTAGGTCTCCAAAAGTGCCAGGTCGCAGCTGCGGAAGCAGCACTCCTCCACGATCCCGTTGCCACGGTTGCTGCGACGGCTCGCACGGCCGGCTGGTCTGCCTGTGGGCGGCGGGGGGCGGTCAGCGCTGTGCCCCAGAGAGGGGGACCCACCCACCCACCCCGTTCCTCCCCGTCCGGACTGGGAACGGGCACAGCCGCGGGGTCCCCGGACCCCGGGCGGCTGGGGAAATGGGCTCGGGGGGCCGCCCCCCACCTTCTGGGACCGCAGGGTCCCGGGCGCGAGGGGCCCCCTGAGCTAAGCAGGGGCCGGCAGGCGGCCCACAGCCCGGGCGCTGAGACAGGTAGGAATGGGAGGAGGAAGAAGAAGACGGGAGGAGAGGAGTGAGGACCTGCAGAAACCACGCCCTCCTCTCCTCCCGTCCCCCCCTCGCTCCCCCAGGTCCACGTCTCAGCCCTCCGCTGGGTCCCGTGGGTGGGGGCGTGGCCCCGCACCCCTTCAGGGAGCCTCGCTCTGGGGGAGGAGGGGCAGGGGCTTCAGGCTTAAGCATCGGTGATGCTTTTCCAAGAGAAGCTTTGAAACGGCCAAGGCGGGTAAGGGGAGGCTGCAGCAGAGAATGCCGACAGCCAGTGCCAGCGCCAGGTGTGGCGGGCACGGGGGCTTTTGTTCCCGTTGGTTCCCAGCCCCTTTTATCAAATCGGGAACTTGATAAAATGTTCACCAGGGCACATCCAGGAGCGGGCGCCCATGGTCAGAGTGTCAGCCCCGAGCCACACCCACCGCCCCGCGCACAGTGGGCGAGGGCAGCTGCCTCCCTCCCCTCGGGGCCCGGCACTGGGGGGCGGGGGGGGGCGCGGGGAGACTTACTGAAGTAGAAGCCGCGGTCTCCGCAGACGAACTGCAGAGTGTCCACGAGCTCCCCGCCGCACAGGGTCTCGCTGGGGCGGTAAGCAGCATAGCAGCACGAGGCGAAGGCCAAGAAGGCAAGAAGCACCAGCGTCGACTTCCCCACTGGAAGCGCCATGGTTCTGGGGGGAGAGAGAGGCTGAGCCCGCGCCCGCGGCAGGCAGGTCCCCGCGCTCAGCGCCCGCACGCCCACGGAGGCAGACGGGTGGCGTCTGAGCGGTTTGATTGGCAGCGAGGGCTGGTCAGTGACTTCACGGGGGAGGGGGCTCCCCATTGTCACCCGGCAGGGGCCAGCGCTGGACGCGGGACCTGGCCTCCAGCCTATGATGTCATGAGGGCGGGGCCAGCACCAGGCGGCGGCCACTCCTGGGTCTCCCAGCGCCAGCCAAGATGGCAGACGGCCCCACCCCACCCCACCGCCGGGCAGGCCAGCATCCCAGAGGACCCAGTCTCGGGGGCCCTGAGGCCGGACCCCTCCAGGCTGTCGACAGGCAGAGCTCGGGCCAAGGATCCAATGGCCAGCACGACTCTGAGGGGGCCTGTTCTCCTGACGCCCCCAGCCCCCCAACTCCAGTCTGCTCTGGGCACCCCAACAGCCACAGCAAAGTCAAAGCCTTGGGGTCCCTTCGAGGTTCCCCTCCCCACCGGGGAGCGTGAGCAGGTGAAGCCGCCCGGAGACCAGACCGAGTTCCTCGGTCCCGTTCGGAAGGAGTGGCAGTCTTAGGACACACCCCCCTGCACAGGCTGTGCGCCCCGTTAGGACTGGGAGACTCAGCAAGACACCCCGACCAGGTCCCGAAGTTGGGAGCCCCTCAGGCGGGTGCCCCCAGCCTGTCCCTGCAGCCCCAGGCACAAGCCCACACAAGGGCTGGGTGGGCTGCCCCGAGAGGTGCCGATCCCCGATGGGGATGGAGACGCGGGGTCCCGAGGAGTCGCGATGCAATAAACCAGGAGCCGGGATGAGAAGGAAGCCGCGTGGGCTGAGCTCCCCCAAGAGCCGCAGCTCCAGGGAAGGATCGGAACTGCCCCCCTCCATCCTTGGTGCCGCCCCAGCCTGGACCCCAGCTGTGTCCCAGCTGCCCCCTCCCAACCCGATGGCCAAGCAGCTCCGACCCTCCCAAGCCCGGCCCTGTGGTGGGGTCCGCGGAGCCGGGAGGGAGCATGCCCCGGGCGGTGAGGGGCAGGGGCAGGGAGGAGGGCAGTGCCCTCGTTGCTGCAGGCAGCAGCGGGCAGAAGCCGGGGCTGGGCCGGGCACCGGGGTGCAGGCGGGCAGGCAGGCAGGCAGGCAGGCTGGAGCGGAGGGCCGAAGCCGGGGTTCCGCTCAACAGCGCTGGTTACCTGCAGCTGGACAGGAGGTCCTGGGCTGGAGAAGGAGGAGGAGGAGGAGGAGGTGGAGGAAGAGAAGGAAGCTGGAAGGTGGCCTCTCAGGAGAAGCTAATGTCCAGCGCACAGAGTGGCCAGTGCCTCTGCTTTTTATGTGTTGAGTCGGCTCCTCCCAGCCCCGGCTCCACCCCGGCCCCCACCCCCCTCCCCGCTGACCACTCCCCCCGCCCCCCTGCCCCCGCCCCTCGCGGCGTCCAGCCAGCCAGTCCCCTGCCTCCCCTGCGCGCCCCCCGCCCCCCGCCCCCCGCCCCCTCCCCTCCCCGCCAGCTCCGTCCCTGAGCGGAGGACCCTGGGGGGGGGGGCTGAGCCCCCAGCCCAAGTCCGCCCCGGGCGGGGGGGCGGGAGGGGGGCTGCTTCCCCTCCTTGTATGGAAACTTCCTTCTGCCCGCAGCTCGGGGCTGGACACGCCCCCGGGGCCCCGCGCAGCCCCCTCCCCAGATTCCGACTTGGAGACGTTGGGGACGGGAGGGGGGGGGCGGGCAGAGGAGGGGGGGCAGATCCTGCAAATGTGGCGCCTGGCAGGACTCTTTTGCCAACTCAGCCCCCCTGGCTCCTCCGGCCCCGCCCCCTCCCCCTTCTCCCTCTCTCTGGCGCGCAGCGCGCATACCGTGGTGGGTTTCTGAGACCGGCGCGCCCCCCTCCTCGCCCAGCGCCCCGTGGGGACGGCCCTCCCCCCCCCACATACGGCGCAAATCCCACACTTTGAGCAACACGCCCCCCCCCCCGTACCCCAAACTAACCTGGAAACGGCCCCTGCAGCCCGCGCACACCTCTCTGGGCCCTTTCCGCGGCCCCCGCCCCCTCTCCAAGGCGCAGGGAAGAGCGCGGCGCAGGGAAGGGGCCCGCCGCCCGCACCCGCACCCCGCGCCCCGCAGACCCTGAGCCCCGTACCCCGCACCCGCAGACCCCCGGCCCCCCACGCGCTCACCTGAAGCCGGCACCGACGCCGCCCACCTTCCTGCTGCGTGACATGCGAACCTGGCAGCGGGCGAAGGCCCTCCTGCCGGACACTCCTCTGCCAGCGCCGCTCTGGCCGAGTCGCCGGGGCCGAATGTGCGACGGGGCAGAACGGGGGGATGGCTTGTTTTGGGGGGCGGGGAGCATCCTCTGATCGTGGGGGGGACGGGCCTTCCGGGGCTGGGGCGGACAGATGTTGTACTTTGGGGGGGGAAGGGGTCGGGGATGAGGTCAGCTGTTGTTCGCAGGACAGAGGGGGGCAGAGACAGTCGGAGAGACAGAGTGAGCGGAAAGGGGGGGGCCAAAGGGCGGGCGAGAGGGAGCGGGACAGCGAGAGGCGGGCCGGCACAGGGGGCAGGACAGCGGGGAGAAACAGAGCGGAAGGCGGACGGGGCGGGCGGGGCGGGGGGGCGGGCTGGAGGCGCGGGTCGGGGTGGGGGCGGGAGGGAGCGCGGGGAAGGCTGCGGGGGAAACGGGGCCGGGGCGAGAGGCAGAGAGTGGAGGGGCGCAAAGAGAAGCCGAGGTTAGGGCGCCACGTCGGGGTTCGGGGGCGGTGCGAGGGGGGGCGGAGTGGAGGCGTCCCCGGGCCGCGGGCGCCCAGCTCGGCGTGGGCCGACGGAGCCCTCGGCCGTCGCGAGTCCGGGCCCGGGGGGGCGGGGTGGCCGCCGGGCCGCTCGGGCGAGGAGGGAGCGGCCGGCGGACACCGCGAGGGCAGGGGAGGGGGGAGATGACAACGCCGGCGGCCTGCGGGCCGGACTGCCTGCGGGGGGGCCCGCCTCCTCGGCGGAGCGGAGCGATGAGGTAGATGGACGAGGAGGCGGCGGGGGTCCGCAGGCCCGGCGGAGCGCGCCCCGCGACGGCGGCGCCCGGGGTGGAGAGCAGCGCGGACGGCGGCGAGGCGGGGCGGCGGCCCGGTGGCGCGGGGCGGGCGGGGCGGGCGGGGCGGCCGGAAGGGGGGGCCGCCCCGGGCCTCCGCGCTCCGCCGGGGAGCAGGCGAGGTCCGGGCGCCAAGGCCCCGCTCTTATAGCCGCGCCGCCCCGCGCCGCGCGCCCGCCGGGCCCCGCTGGCCCCGCGCCCGCGCCAATGGGCGCCCGCCGCCCGCGCCCCGCCCCCGGCCCGCCCCGCCGCGCCAGCCAGGCCGGGGGCGGGGGCGCCCGGGGGCGGGGGCGGGGGCGCGGGCGCCCGGGGGTGGGGTGGGGGAGGGGCGCGGGGTGCGGGGCCGGGGCTGAGTGGGGGCGGGGAGCGGCCCGGTGTGCGAGCGATCCCAAGTCCAAAGTGCGAAGGGCCCCCCCATCCCGGGTTCCGGGGTGCCAGGTCCGCGGCGCTGGGTGCGCGGGGGGCCGCGGCGTGAGCGCGGTGCGCGGTGTCCCGGGCCCTCTCGGCGGCGGTCGGAGGTCCCCGCTTCCCCACGACAAGGGCCCACGCGGCGGGGCGCCCCGTGGGCGCGCGAGGGCGCAGGTGGCCCCTCGGTGTCCCCCAGTCCCGCTGGGAACGGAGGAGGAGAAGGAGGGGGGTCGGCGCGGGCTTCCGCCGCCAGAGCCGGACGCCCCCAGAGCCGCGGGGCCGGGGCTCGGTCCCCGCCGGGTGCGGTCTGAGCGGAGAACACCCGCCTGGGGCCGGGCCTGGACATGGGGTGGCGGGGAGAGAGCGCCGAGGCGGGAAACGTTGTCCAAGTCCCACCTGCGTGACCGCGCTCACGGGAACGCAAAGCTGCCGCTTCAGGGCCCCCAAAATGTCAGGATAATGTTTTCCCAGCCTCGGAGGCCCCCCAAAATGTCAGGATAATGTTTCCCCAGCCTCGGGAACCCCCAAAATGTCAGGATAATGTTTCCCCGGCCTCGGGGGCCCCCGAACATGCCCCGATCATGGTTTCCCCGGCCTCGGGGCGCTGGGCTCGCGTGGACCCGGCTCAGCCCCGAGGGGCCGCCCGCGCGCCGGTGTGAAAAGTTTCCCGATGTGAACACCCGCGGCCGCTCCGAGTCACCCCATGCGCTCCCCGCGCCCGTGCCGCCGCCGGGAAGGGGAAGGGGCTGCCGGGGAGGCCCGGGGTCGCGTCAATCACCTCCCCTCCCGCTCGCTCGGCGCGCACTTCGCCGCCGAGTCCCCGGCCCGGGCGGCGGGCGCCATGCGGCTCTCCCCGAGTCCCCCGGCCTGGCGGCCCACGACCCAGCGTCCCGGGACCCCGAGCCCTGCCCTCCCCACGACCGCGGTCTTTGCAAAGAGCCAGCGAGAGCGGCGCCGCTGGTTTCGGGGCGCCCGGCCCCCGCCCGTGGGCCGCCCGGAGGCCAGCCCGCCGCAGGCTCCCCAAGAGCCGCCGGGGGCGAGCGCCGCCAGCCCGGAGGGAACCGGCCGGGGCCGGGCCGGGAGGCGGCGGCGGGAGGCGGCGGAGCTCACCGCGGGGCTGGGCGCGGCGTCCCAGAGGGGCGCGAGGCCGGGAGCGGGCCGGAGCGCGGGCTCCTCGGCTGCGGCAGCGGCCGGGCTGGAGGTGAGCGGGACCCCGGCGGCGTCCCCGAGGCCCCGGCTACGCCCAGCGCGTGGAGGACCCGGGGATCATGCCCAAATTTGGGGGGAACTGGGGGCTTTGCCCAGCGCTGCTCTCCTAGACGGGGGAGCTCTGCCCACGTCCTGCGGACGCGCTGCCAGGCCCGGCGCTGGGGGCACGGACACCCGTAAACGCGGGCCAAGCAGAGCGCGCGGGGCCGGGGCGGCGGGAGCCGTGCCTAGACTGGGGGACGGGGGACCGAGCGCGATCTGATTTGGGGGCGGAAAAAAGTGAGGTCCCCGGACTTGGAATCTCCCGCGGTGGGAGCTGCTCGGAGTCAGGATGCCCGAGGCTCCAGGAAAATAGGATCCGAGTGTGGGGACCCCTGGAGACGGCTCCGAGCGCTGGGGAGGCGGCGCGCACGGGGGGCGCCCCGTGGGTGCGTGGGCGGCAGGCTGGGGGGCCCCGCAGGATGGGCGGCGGGAAGGCAGATTTCTCGGCGACTCCGGAAACATTCTCCCCGTCACACTCAGGGGGACCGGGGAGCGCGGGGTCTGAAATGAAACAAGCGAACAGGACCGAGGAGCGGGGATCTCAGCGCGGCGGGGCTGGTTCCCGGATTCCGGGCGCCGTGGGCCCGGCGCTTGGCTCGGGAGCCGCCTCCATGGGTCCTTGGCGTCCTTCAGGGACTCCAGGAAAGCGGGCTAAATTTGGGGGAGCCCCAGAGTAGGAGCAGGGCTCGGGGGAGTGCAGAAAAGGGAGCTGGTCTTATTTTATTTTTCACTCACTTACTGGAGGTCTGTTTGGGGCAAACAAGGGAAATACCCCTTCTTTTTCTTTCCCCCCCTGAGCACTGTCTGTGTTTGGGGATCCTTGGCGACACGGCTCGAATTTAGGGGTCGCTGGAAACTGCCCCGTGGCGGCTGACGGCTGAGCTCCAGGGACCCTGGTTGTGGCGAGGGCACTTGCATGGCTCAGGCCTCTGCCGCCTGCAGGGTGTGGGGCCTGAGAGTATTCTCCAGTCCCCAGGCATTTTCATTTTTGGGGATGCCCATGGGGGGAAAATTGCCTACACTTCGAGAAGGGGGCTCAGGAAAAGGGTCATAAAGTCAGAGGACCCATCAGTCAATGTTCAGAAAAAACAAAAAAACAAAAACAAAAAACAAAAAAAAACAACCACTCAGTTGTTTTGTGGAAGGAAAAATAAAAAATCTCCATTCACTTTGGAGGGCTGGAGGCAGCACTCGGCTCAGAGTCCCCCGAAGTCCTGTTGGAATCGGGGATCCAGATAAGTGGCTCCCATCCCCAGAGAACTGGAGGCTGGCACCGAACTTTGGGGTGAAGGGTGATGAGTCCCCAAACCCTGGGACCTGGGGAACCAGAGTCCAAAATCCTGGGAGTGAGCTGGCGGCGAAGGGAATATAGGAAATGTGGGTTAAATTCGGGGTGCCCCCGGGGAGGTCCCAGTGCCTTTCTGTGACCCACGTGTAACCCCGGGCCGGGGGGTGGTGGAGGGCAATGCCGGTATCTGAGAGAAGGGAGCACACCGGACCCGGGGTCAGGAGCCGCTCTGTGTGGGTCCGAGTTTCTGATCAGCATCTGAATTTTAAAAACCCAGGTTCTTGTCTGGAGCGAGGGGTCTGGGGATTTTAAAAGACCAAAAGGTGGCCCCGAGGAGAACATGTCTAGGCGATCTGGTCACCGGGCATTCACAGGACCCAGGGCCCCAGGCACAGCCTTGTCCTGTGCTTGGGTGGGGAGCCCCAGGGCCTGGGGGACCCCAGAGATTCTGGGGAACCTGCGTAACCCAGGGTCAGGGGCAGCAGTGACGGCTCCGTGTGCTGGCCCGGGGCGAAGGGCAGGTCCCCGGAGCTCGGAAACCGGTGCCGTTTCCACAGCCCACAGGAAAGTGCTCAGGGGTTGGGGGGACCTAGGCCCCCCCGAGCGGGGACTGTTCGGGGACTCGGAAAAGGGCTGGGTGCACTCCGGGGAGACCCCTAAGTCCTGGAGAGGCGGGAAGCAACCTTCTGAGGGGCCTGGGGCAATTTGCTTCCTGCGTTGAGGGACCGGGGACTGCTGGTGTAAAATTCTGGGAGCCCGGGTTGGGGCCAGTAATTTTGAGGGCCCCCCCGCAGGCATTGCCCTGGCTGTGGGGAAGCTGCATGGGGTGTCCGAAGGGACAGGAAGCCGGGAGACCCTGTCCTTAGCGCCCACCGTGGTGGGGGCACGAGAAGAAAAAAAAAAGGGGCCACTTGTTTGGGGACACACACCTACGTGTTGGACAGACTGTCCCGGAGCCCGCAGGCTGGCTGGCCGTGGCCGCGGGGCAGGGCGGGGGTCCGGGTGGGGGGCCTGCGGGCCTGCGGGGCCCCGAGGACGGGAGACTCGGTGAAGACAGCGAGTTTGCAGCGCCCCGACCACGCGTGTGAATGTGGGGGCGCCGAGGAGGACTCCCGGGTCTGCAGGTCTCTGGGAATTCATGTCTAAGAAAACGCCCAGACCTGGGAAAAGGCTGACTGTGTGTGGGAGAAATCTTGGGAACAAGACAGCACCCCGAAGGTGCCCAGGACAAAAAAAAAGCCTTGTCCGTTTTTTTGTGTTTTTTTGGGGGGGCGGGGGGGCGCGTGGCTGAATAAGTGGGGACCCCAGAGCGGGGTCTGCAGGAGGCAGGCCGGGCGCCGGGGCCGCGGAACCAGCGCGCGACCCGGGCGTGGAGCAGGGGCGCCTTCCGGGGGACGCGGGGCGCGGGGCACGGGGCGCGGCGGGGCAGGTCCCCCTTCCCTTCGCCTTCCCGCTTCCCCGGAGAGGCCGCCGCCGCCGAGGCCCCGGGGCTGCGGGCGGCGGAACCGGGCTGCCGCCCGGACGCCTTGGCCGCAGCCCCCCGCGGCGGCATCTCCGGGGGTCCCCGCGCCCCGCACCCCGCGCCCCACGCGCCACCCCACGCGCCGCGAGCCCAGGAGAAGCCGCCCCGGACGCCACCGCGGGCAGGCTCCCCCCGGCAGGGCTGGGGGGGCCCCGGGGCTCTCCCGCCGGCCGCCCCCGCGCGCCCGGAGCGCGGCCCGGTCTCGCCCAGTCACCAAATGGCCTGAAACCAGTTCGCTGTGGGCGAGGCGATCGAGCAGAGGCCGTGGGAGGGAGGGGGGGAAGGGGGGCAGGGGTGGGGAGCAGGCCTGCCCGGGATGGGGGGCCGGGGGCTCCTTTCGTTTTCTGCAAATGTCCGCGGAGGGCCGCATCCCCGCGGCTGAGACCCTGGGATCAGAGGGGAGCGGGGGGGAGGCAGATCCTGAACCCAACTAGACCCATGGGGGAGGTGGGATGGGGTCACCTCTCAGGACTGGGTAGTGTTGGGGACGTGGGGCAGTGACCCCCTTCCCCAGGGATCTGTTGCGGGGAGGTGATGTCAGCGAGGAGGTGCTGCTGGGCAGTGTAGCACAATGGTTTGAGGCTTGGGGCCAGGACACCGGGCACTGCTGGTCCCCAGGGGCACCCCACGGGGGACCCCTGCCCGCAGGGGCCGCTGGGAAGGCAGGGGTTAAGGCGAGGGACAGGTGTGACCGGCAGGCTGCACCCACCCCAGGAACACAGCCCCTTTCCCTTCCCCCAGCCCCAGGCATGTGGGGAATGTCCCCTCCAAACCCCAGCCCCTATCAATCACCCCTCGCCCCCCTCCAGGAACATCTGGCCTGTGGCCCCCCCAGAACAGCCCCCTCCTCTGCCCCAGGCCGCATGCGGGCCTGTGCCTACGGAGGAAGGGGCGGCAGGGAGCCCTGCTCCCTGCTCCATGGTGACTTGTGAATTGTGGGGTGTGGGGAGCGTTAAGATAAGGCCTGTCTGTGGGTTGGGGTCCCCGAGAGCCCAGAGCAGAGTCCACATCTTGGTGGGGTGGCTGCTCGGGGCAAACGGAGGGACACGGGGCTCCCCGGCCCTGCTGTGGCCTCCACTCTCCTCCGAGCCCTGAACCCTCGGCTTCCCAGGCCGATGGCGCCGGCTAGCTGCAGGGGAAGCCCGTTAGACCCGGGCCTGGGGCCCGTGCCGGCGTCCCCTGTGTCTGGAGAAGCTGGTGCTGGGAGACTCACGGGGACCCTACAGGTAGGAAGGAAGCCTCCGGTGCCAGGCTGGGGTCAGGGCGGAGGGGGGGGCACATGGCCTTCCCTGCTGCTGCCCCAACCCTCGCCTTATTTAGTCAACAGTGTGGCCCGCAGGGGCAGGCGCAGGCTCAGGTCACCCCATGGCTCTAAAAGGGCACTCACCCCAGCCGGGACCCACCCTCCCCACTCCCCACTCCCCACTCCCCGACTCCCGACTGGCAGCCCCCCAGGCCTGGAGGGCCCTGGCAGCCCCGGAGCTGGCTGTGGGGTAGGGGTCTCCTGGCAGAGCTTGGCTGGCAGGGACCCTGGCCCTCAAGCCGCCCTCCAGCCCTGCCCAGCCCGGCAGCACTGACCTCCCCTCTGGATCCACAGGCGCAGACGAAAGAGGATCAGACTCGGCCCTCGGACTGCCCTGCGCCCCCCACCAGCTCCGCTCACTCTCGGCCTTCCCGGCTCCAGCAGTCCCTTGGCCCTTGCAGTGGCTGGCCTGCCTCCTGCCTCTGGCTCCCAGCTTCCTCCCCCGTTCTGGCTCCTACCTGGCTGCCCCCCTCCCCCCGGGCCCAAGCCCAGAGTCTGCAAACCCGGCTCCAGGGCTGAGGGTCCCGGAGCGCCCACTCCCCCGCTGTGGGGCTCGGACTCCCACTCCGGGTCAGCCCCGACCTGATCTCCAACCTCCGACGGGAAGCAGGGCCAGATGCCCAGGCCGGAACCAGAACCCAGGGACCGACAGCACCAGGCACCGCCCGCCTATAAACCAAAACCCGAAAGCACGTCGGTGTCAGGGTGTCGGGGTGTCAGGGTGTCAGGGCTTCGGGGTGTCGGGGTATCAGGATATCAGGGTGTCGGGGTGTCAGGGTGTCGGTGGGGCAGGGAGGGGGCAGCAGGGCTGCTGGGGGAAGGAGCCCCATGTGGCCCCATTGTCCCCCTCGCCTGTGAGTGAGCTAGAGGCGCCCAGGACGGCATGCTCTGGGTGTCTCTGGGCTGCAGGCCCAGGGGAAGGGGGTCACCTGCTGGGTGAACCGGTCCCTGCAGGCTCTGAGGGCGCCCCGTGGCTTTTGTGTTTGGCTCAAGGACAGAGCCTGCAGCACCCAGGACCCTGGAGCTGGGCAGAGACCTTGGCCTCCCCACCCAGGCACCCCCACTCCCTCACAGGGAGCCTGCACCCCACACAAAGGGCCCCCCCCCACGATTCTCCACTCCCAGGCTCAGGAGGCTTCTCCCTTTGGGCTGTGCCTCACGTGCCCCTCAGTTCCCCACTCCTGCCCGCAGGGCTGCTCTGCCACCCCCTTCCCTCCCCCCCCCCACAGGGGAAGGAGCGGGAAGCCCAGGTGGCCAGTGCCCTCTCCTCACGCCCCTCTCCCTCCCCTTCCTTCCTCTTTCACTCTCTGCACCTTGACCCTGCCTTCCAGCGCCCCGCTCCCCGCTCCCCTCTGACCTTCTCTCAGGAGTGCCCTTCGGACCTCGCTGCTGCCCCCCCTGAGCTCCCAGGAGGCAGACACGCCTGGAGCGGCATGGGCTCTGTGACCCAGCACCCCCGGCCTTGCTGAGCCTCACCTCCTTGTAAAAGTGGGGGGCGGGCTAGAGCTGCAGGGGGCTCCCAGCACTGAGAAACCTGGTCTGGCACGTGCAGAGGGGCCCCTGGGCCCTGCCCGGGGCCCCGGAGACACTCACCTTGAGGGGCCGGGGCCGGGGGTGGGGGCCGCTCAGTGCTGGGGGGCCGGGCGGGCAAGCCAGGGGCACAGGCCGCAGCAGCCGGCCTGGGGGCTGTGCTCGCGGGCGGCTCTGGGCGGCTTCTGCCGGGGCCTCCGGCGGGGCTGGCGCGCGGGCCGGGCCGGGGGCTGAGCCGGCGGGGCGGCCGCGTCCTGGGGCCGCGGGATGGAGTCCGTCCCCGCCTCCTCCTCCTGGAGCTCGGCCGTGACCCTGCGGCCCCTGGGAACACAGGGAGGTGGTCGCTGTAACTGATGGCCCCCCGTCTCTCCCCGGGCTGCTGGGGGGGGGGCTGGGGGTCCTAAGGCATCGTGTGGGGCTGTGGGGGGTGGTCCCTCTGCTGGTTGGGGGGCAGGGGGAGAGGCCAACAGGGCACCCCGAGCTGGGCTTTCGGAGCCAGGCCCAGAAGGTACCCCCCACGGGCGGGAGACCCCTGTGGCCGGAAGACCCACTGGGCTGGGGCTGGGGCTGGGGCTGGGGCTGCACACAGGGCCTGTCTTGGGGATCACAGCACGAAACAGGGGAACCTTCCCCACGCAGCCACCCCGCCGGGATTGGGGAGGCAGCGGGGTGAGGAGCGAGCCCCCTCCTCAGTGGACAGGCCAGCGGAGCCCGGAGCCCAGCAGGCACTGGGCAGAGGGAGAGACCTGCCTGCACCAGGACAGCTCGGGCCCCGGAGAGCTAGGCACGCGGGCAGGGGGCAGCCTGGCCCTCAGCCCCTCAGTGGGGTGGTGACCCTCCCAGAACAGGGCTGGGGGGGGGGAGTCGAGGGCTGCAGGGGATGGAAGGTGGGAGCCTGACTTTTTAAAAAATTGTATTAAAAAAAAACTGCTTCAAAATCTCGGCCTCTGTACTGCGTCCTTTGTCTTCGGTTGGGATTGGGGCGGGGGTTCGGGGGAGCTCCTGACAGCAAAACCCTGCCCCTCCCCTTTGCCAGCACAGCTGCACCCCACCCCCAGGGCAGCCCCCCCAGCCCCGAGACCAGGCTGCCAGCAGATCAGGGAGGGAAAACGATTCTCCTCGCCCCAGCCCCCGGCTCCAGGCAGCCCCTGGCCACCTGTCTTCTCCGTCCCCTCGGCCGGAGCCGCAATCCCGCTAGCCACCCCGAGCCCCCAGACCCCCAAGCCTGAGAGGCGCCCCGAGCCGCTGCCTGCGGGAGGGAGCCCCGTACCTGTGCTCCAGCGGCTGGGTGCCCCCCGACGCTCCCGGGCGGTGGACAAAAAGGACCGGGGAGTCGCCGCTGCCCCAGGCTCTCTGCCCCAGCTGCCCGGCCGAGGAGCCGCCGGCCGGGCTGGTATGAGCAGCTGCCGCCGCCGAGGCAGGGGCTGCTCTGGCCGGGGCGCCCAAAGTGGCCGAGGAGGGGGGCGAGGCCGGGGCCGGGGAGATGCTGAAGGGCAGCGTGAGGGCTCTCATGGCAGTGGGCCTCGGCAGCGGCCGGCGGCGTCCACCGCTGAGCGGGCACCTGCCACGCGCCAGCTGCCTTTATAGCCGGGCCCCTCGTCCTCCCGGCCGCCCCACGCTGCCGTCCCTCCAGCCCCTCCAAATTTGGGTAGCTCTGCACCGACGCCGAGTGGCTGGGGCCTCCGGGGCAGCTGGCCGTGGCTCTGTCCCAAGCCCAGGCACCGGGGTGAGGGGTGGGGGGATGGGGTGTGGGGAATGGGGGGTGGGGTGGGGGTGGAGGTTGGCCTGCCCCTGACCCCACAGAAGAGGGTTAGTAGGCCTGCGCACAAGCCAGGAACATGCCTGCTAGCCAGCTGGCCTGCCCGAGGGGGGACGGACTTCACATGATTGACACTTGGCAGTCACCCGACACCCTGGAATGCGGAGGGCTTGGCACGGGTAAAATGGGGGTGGGGCCCCCGGGGGAGGTGGCCGATTTGACAGGGGAGGTCAGCAAAGTGACCCCTCGGTGGTCCCGGACCAGCTGCCGCACAGAACGGTCCCGTTCTGCCTTCTCCTGGAGCCGGGACACGCGTGTGGTGCTCTCTCCCTTCCCCGGTCACATGGGCCCCACCCCGCACGTGGCAGGAGTCAGTGCCAGGCCCTTGGGCACTGCCGCCGGCGGCAGCAGCCGTGGGGCAGGGGTGTCCCGCTCCCACGTGGGGACACGGGCCTCAGCCTTTGCTGAAACCCCAGGAAGGCGCAGCCCTCAGCGGTCTGACCAGGAGGGGAGAGCATCCCTGACTCGACTGAATCTCACCGACAGGGAATTGAACCGTCTTCCCCAGGCCTGCGGGGAGGCAGGAGCAGGCAACGGCACGCCAAGAGGCCAAGGCGTGCACTCCGCACACGGGCACCCGTCTCCCCCGACGCCCGCCCCGCGTTCCTGCACCCGGCTGGTCCCCCGGCGTCAGAGTTTAATTCTCCCTTTTCCTACACAAGCTCCACACGAAGGTCCTCTCTGAGCTGGAGGGACAGGGCGTTCCGCGGGGACCACGGGCTCCCAGGAGGGGGAGCGGGGGAGGCAGGCTGCCTTGAGGGAGACTGCATTGGTTGGGTGGGCCAAACAGGACCCAGAGGGCCAGGTCCACCCCACCCCCGGGCGGAGGGCAGGCGGGGCTCTGGGCAGGGAGGGGTGAGGGGTGAGGGATGTGGGATGCTCAAGGCCCGAGCAGGTTCACGGCGCATGGAGAGCAGTCGGCGTGAAGCTGCCGGCCATGGCTCTGTTCTGGGCTCCGTGGCCTGCAGGCAGCATGGCCTCTGCCCCGTGTCCGCGGCAAGGTGCCAGGTCCTGTCGGGAGGCGAGGCTGGGACCCCCAGCTGCCGGCGGGGCTGGGGGGAAAGAGGGGCCACCAGGCCAGACAAGAACGTGGCAGGGGAGGCCCACGGAAGGAGGCGTCCCAGGGGGAGAGCGTGGGCAGCTGTTCAAGCCCACAGGCCGGACCCCTGCCCCGTGGGGACCTTTCCACTCCCCGGGGGGGTCTCGAACCCGAGCTCTGTCATTTCTACCCCCCGAAGGGGCCCACCATGGCTGAGCCATTTCATTCCACCAGAATCTTGCCACCCAGAGTTTTTAAGCAGGAGGATGGGAGAGGCACGGCTGGGATGGCCCCCGAGGCAGGGCTGAAGGCTCGGACCCTCTGGGCCACACGGGCTCCGGGGGCACGGGCAGTGAAGGGAACACCAAGGAGCCGCCCTGGTGCAGAGAGAACCAGAGAACCCAGAAATCCCATCTCCAGTTTCCCCGACGTGGCTCTTTACATGGCCTCGTGCTGACACCTGGTGGTTACTTCCGGAATTACAACGTCACAGCCCAAAGGTATTACACATTCCGGACCCCCTCAGGAGAGGAGCGTTTGGGGGCAAAGCAACCCCATTTCTCCGGACAGAGGGAGCCCCCGACCCCCCGCTCGGTCGGGGACAGGGTGCTCTGCACCTTTGCACTTGGGTTTGAGTCTCTTGTCTGCCTCCATCCTGGCATGGCCTAAGGGAACTCCTTCCCCAGGGTCTCTGGCTTCCTGGGATGTTGGGGTACGGGGTGTGGGGGGTCTCCCTCCTCAGGGGGTGCGGAAAGGCGGGTGCTCAAAGCCAAACGTGACCCCGGGACCCTCCTGAAGCTCCCGTCGTGTCCTGAGACTCAGAGGAAGCTGTGTTACGTGTGTGTCAGAATAAAATGAGATGTTACAGGGAGGCAGAATGTTGGGGGACCCCTCGCCCCTCAGACAGGCAGGGACCCGGAGACTGAGGGTGGGCGTGGTCCTCCGCTGGCGGCCGTTTCTACCCGCCCCAAGCTTTCAAATCTGGCCGGAGCCTGACACCTTGTGGCCGCCTGCGGAAGTGCAGCCAGCAGCCTCCGAAAGCGCCTGGCTTCCCTGGGCATCGATACAAGGATAAGGGCCCTTAGGATAACGGGGCCCTTTGACCAAACCCAGGGGTCAAGGAGGAGGAGGTACCCCAGAACCCCCCTCCTGAGGCCCCGTGCTGTCAGGTCACGTGGGGCTCAGCCGCCTTCGTGGGGGCAGTGGCAGGCCGGAGGGAGGCTGCCCCAAATTGCACACAGCCCGATGTGAGGGTGCACTGGCCCCTATGGGGTCCCTCCCGGGTCCTGTGGGAACGCACCGGGGGGGTCACACCTCCACAGCGGGCCCTGCTGTCCCGGGCGCCTGCCTGTGGGGACCCTCCGTCCCTGTGTCTCCTGCAGGTGAGAGGCTGCCAGGAGGGCTCAGACCACCCTGGCCAGTTTGGCTCAGCGGGTAGAGCATCGGCCTGCAGACCAAAGGGTCCTGGTTTCTAGTCTGATCAAGAGCACGTGCTGGAGTTGTGGGTTCGATCCCCAGAGTGGGGCGTGCAGGAGACAGCTGTTGATAATTCTCCTTCATTATTGATGTTTCTCTCTCTCCCTCTCCCTTCCTCTCTGAAATCAATTTAATAAAAATAAAAAATAAATAAATAAAAATAGGCCTCGGAACTTGGGGAGCAAGAGGCCGGCCAGGTGGGGTCTCTCGATGACCAGCTCTCTTGCTGGTGAGCGAGGGAGGCTCCGGCACAGGGGCCATGGTTCTCAAAACTGCCTGGTACTGGCACAAGAACAGACATATAGACCAGTGGAATAGAATAGAGAACCAGAAATCAACCTGAACCACTATGCTCAATTAATATTTGACAAAGGAGGCATAACATACAATGGAGTCAAGACAGTCTCTTTAATAAATAATGTTGGGAAAATTGGACAGATACATGCAAAAAAAATGAAACTAGACCACCAACTTACACCATACACAAAAATAAACTCAAAATGGATACAGGACTTAAACATAAGACAGGAAACCATAAAAATACTAGAGGAATCCACAGGCAGCAAAATCTCAGACATAGGCCAAAGCAATTTCTTCTAGAGCAATGGAAGTTAAAGAGAAAATAAACAAATGGGACTACATCAAAATAAAAAGCTTCTGCACAGCAAAGGAAACCATCCACAAAACAAGAAAGCCCACTGTATGAGAGAGCATATTTGCAGATGTTGTCACTGATAAAGGTTTAATCTCCAACATCTACAGGCAGCTTATACAACTTAATAAAAGGAAAATAAATGATCCAATTAAAAAATGGGCAACAGCCAAAACCATTTTGGCTCAGTGGATAGAGCATTAGCCTGCAGACTGAAAGGGTTCAATTCTGGTCAAGGGCATGTACCTGGGTTCCAGGCAAATCCCCAGTAGGAGGTGTGCAAGAGGCAGCTGATTGATGCTACCCTCTCATACATGTTTCTAACTCTCTATCCCTCTCCTTTTCTCTCTGTAAAAAATCAATAAAATATATTTTAAAAAATAAAAAATGGGCAACGGACCTAAATAGAATCTTTTCAAAAGAAGACAAAAGGAAGGCCAAGAGACATATGAAAACATGCTCAAAGTCACTAATCATCTGAGAGACGCAAATCAAAATGACAATGAGGTACCACCTCACACCTGTCAGAATGGCTGCCATCAACAAATCAACAAGCGACAAGTGCTGGCGAGGACGCGGAGGAAAAGGAACCCTCGTGCACCGCTGGTGGGAATGCAGACTGGTGCAGCCACTGTGGAGAACAGTATGGCGTTTCCTCAAAAAACTGAAAATGGAACTCTCATTTGACCCAGTGATCCCACTCCTAGGAATATATCCTAAAAAACCAGAAACACCAATCAGAAAGGACATATGCACCTCTATGTTCATAGCAGCGCATAGCTAAGATTTGGAAACAGCCTAGGTGCCCGTCAGCAGATGATTGGATCAGAAAACTAAGGTACATCTACACAATGGAATACTACACTGCCATAAAAAAGAAGGAATTCTTACTGTTTGCAGCAGCATGGATGGGCCTGGAGAGCATTATGCTGAGTGAAATAAGCCAGTCAATGAAAGAAAAACACCACATGATCTCATTCATTTGTGGATAATAAAGAACATTATAAACTGACGAACAAAGAGATAGATACAGAGGCAGTAAAGAAAACACCCAACAGACTGTCAAATTACAGAGGGAAGGGTGGGGAGATCTGGGGGAGATAGAGATCAACCGAAGGACTTGTGTGCATGCATATAAGCATAACCAGTGGACGCAAGACACTGGGGGGTGAGGGCGTGTACGGGAGTGGGGTGGGGGCAATGGGAAGACACGTACACATAGAATACCTTAATTTAAAAAATGGGGGGGGGGGGGGAAACCGGTTTGGCTCAGTGGTAGAGCGTCGGTCTGCAGACTGAAAGGTCCCGGGTCCGATTCCGGTCAAGGGCATGTACCTTGGTTGCGGGCACATCCCCTGTAGGGGGTGTGCAAGAGGCAACTGGTCGATGTTTCTCTCTCATTGACGTTTCTAGCTCTCTATCTCTCTCCCTTCCTCTCTGTAAAAAATCAATAAAATAAATTTTAAAAAAATAATAAAATAAAATAAATAAAAAATGGGG